TTTAAGCCATGTCTCCTGAATGCATATTAAATCAGGAAGGTCTGTCATTTCATGCACAACCTTCTTGAATTCTTGACCATTTGCAGTCAAACTCCTGGCATTCCATTGTATTATCCTGAATGTCATATTTGTTTTAACCTTTGTCTGTCTGGGGTTTCCTGAGAGCTTGCATTATTCTCAGATTGCCCTAGTAGAGTCTGAATTTTCTCAACTGTTACCTCTTTTATACCCAACTGATGAGCTGCAGCAGATATAATGATTTTCATTTTTTCTGTTAATTTGTTTGTTTGTGCTGTACAGTTGATGACTTCAGCAATAAATGCAATGAAGCTTACTTTGCTGACCATAAGCATCCTTGCATCTATATTTGTTTTATACTTCTCTGTTCCCTTGTTTGGTGTTTCAGTTGCATCAGACCTTCTATTTTCTTGCTCATTTTGAACCTTCTTTACTGCTTGTGCATATGAAACATTATGCTCTGACTTGTACTTCATTGCTTCCACGGCTTGTTTTTGCGCTACACATCCTAAATACGCTGCACTATGCGAGCCTCCACAGTTCTCCATAACCATGTTCACCTCCACATTTACAACATCGTTTCTTTTCCTTGCATACTTCTGCTACATGACCCAACCTTTGGCAATTGAAACATCTTAATGCAGGTTTTATAAAACGTCTAACTGGGTAGCACACATATCCCATTTTAACATTTTCTGGAAGCAGTCTCCCATTCACTGTTATCATCACTGTTGTACTTGGCTCTCTTTTCCCGTTTCTGTTTGATGTCAATCTTTTCACTTCTATTACCTTTTCACTCATTAACTGGTTTCTTAATGACTCCTCTGATAATGAGATTGGAACTCCAGAAATCACTCCTTTAATGCCACTCAGATCACCAGGCACATGACACTTAACTCCTAATCCCCCTAACACCTTCATTTTATTCAACATTTCTTGTTGTTTTTTGTTCAGACAAAATACTATCACCTGATTGTTGGTTAAGTATCTGGCTGATTTAATTTCACCAACAGCTTTTCTAAGCATCTTTGTTAATTGCATAGGATTACTAATTTCACCCATTGTCTCAAACATTAAGCTAACTTTGTACTCATCCTCCCTTCTCATCGTTTTACTCCTTCCTTCTCCGACGAACTCCTCAGAATCTGAGCCTCTGTCTTTGCTTTTCTGAGACAACTGCCCAACCTGAATCCATTCATTAGAATTCATGTTATTTGAATCATCCTCTTCATCTAAACTACCCCCTTCACTCTCTTCACACCACAACGCTTAACCCGCCATGCTGTCTTTCCTTCTCCCAGCATGCTGAGCTGTGAGACGCTGAACACGCCATTTCAACCGAATCGCTTACTGTTTCGGAAGTGACGTATACAAAAACATGCACAGATGTTCTTCAAACCTGCTTATGTCAACTGTGCAAACTGTCAATCACTGTAAATGTCCTTGTGGTTGGCTAACACTTCCATCCATCAAAACTTTGCTGGCTAGGCACTGGCTGGCTTCAAACAGCCAAAAACTGCGGTGCGGAGATTGGCACCTCGCTAAGCCTGTCAGCGACTCCCTTTCTGTTCTGGGTTATAACATCGCCTGTGATTGAAGGACAGAGACGGGGAGGGCTCATTTTGCTCGGAAGAGACTATTCTATATGAAACAAATGCCATTTCAAAGCTGGAATCGATATTTCTTTGAAAATGGACGCTATCGACAACTATAACTCGAATCGCTCATGTAAACAAAGGAGGATCTTTCGTTTTTTTCTCGAATGAACATCTCATGCCTCATGTAATCGCTCAATCAGTGTTTCAACCGTGGAAAGATGGCAATAAAACAGCTTGTGAACAAAACGTCATGTAGCATTTAATTTAGCCTACCTCAGGAATTCATCAGTGTCCACAGCTCGTAGTGCGCTAGAGAAATTAAGTGCAGAGAAGAACATTTAACGAAATAGTAGACTATTATATTTTACTTTAGCTGTTAGTGATGTCTTAAGTATTTAATGTTTAAATAAATCTGTTATGAAACAAGTTATGAGAGGCACTGTGTAAATGAATAAATAAAAGTGATTAGAATGTTCAGTGCATCATGTGATCAACTGCTGAATTCAAATTGCTTTCCCGCATTGGCTGGCGCTGATCAAGAGACAGACGCACTCAGCACCACAACTATTCAGTGTTTTCAATCACATAATGTTTATTTTAAGTTTCAGACATTTAAATTCACTAAGTAGCTACTAGCAAAACAATACATTTATAGTTTGTAAAATACACAATGTCTATGGAAACGGCAATAATAATCCATTCAATTGACTTTCAATTATAATTGTTTAATTTATATCAGATACACATTGTGTAGGTAACTATAAAGTTCGTTCTATTTTTCTCCCAGTTCACCGGCCTCTTATTTTCATGTATTTCAGGAGAAGTGGATGAATTGACGCGTTGTAAATCCCACAGATCTGAATTGTAGTGCAAATGCGGCTCCCATCTTGCGTCATAGATCTAACATGATCATTATAAATGCATTTAAGATGTTACTCTGTTTGATTCAGTCATTCATGTATTTGTTTTAGAGACAAGACTAAACACTCGCATCACTTATATGCAAGCTGTGATAACCAATTTATTATAGGCATCGTTGCTCTGACCGTAATGTGACACAAACACACACCGCATTTTACTGTAATCCTACATGACATACGTGTATACCGTATATACACTGAACAAAATTATAAATAGTTTTTGCCCCCATTTTAAACGCAACACTTTTGTTTTTGCCCCCATTTTTCATGCGCCTAACTCAAAGATCGAAGACTTTTTCTATGTACACAAAAGGCCTATTTCTTTCAAATATTGTTTGTCACGGTGCAGGGTGCCTTCTCGGCTTCCCCTGCGGTCTGTGTTGTCCTGTCATGTTCGGTAGCTCGTGGTCTGGGCAATCAGCGCTGATCTCGCAGCGGGGGTTTGCGGATCACGAGCTGACTCTCCCCCACCTGTCGCTCATTCCCCCACTCCCTTATATGTCTCTGCCTTTTCTGTCCTTCATCGTGAGTAGATTTTTTTGTCCTTACTCATGTCTTTGTGTAACTTGTGAGTGCAAGCATCAGTGTCTGACCCTCTGTTCTCCTGTGCTTAAGGACTCGTAGTACATAGATCCGGCAGCTCGAGTGGTCCGCAGTGTCTGCCGGCCAGCTCTGGAATTAAGCAGCAATTAACTATTGTTTGTGTTATTTTGTGGCGAGAATAAAGAATGTCCTTTCTCACTACTCTGCATCCGAGTCCTCTATCTATCCTAGACCTTGACACCTCACAGGTGGGGCATATCAAGATACTGATTAGACAGCATGATTATTGCACAGGTGTGTCTAAGGCTGGCCACAATAAAAGGCCACTCTAACATGTGCAGATTTACTGTATTGGGGGGTCGGGGGGGTCCGAAAACCAGTCAGTATCTGGTGTGACCCCCATTTGCCTCACGCAGTGTAACACATCTCCTTCGCATAGAGTTGATCAGGTTGTTGATTGTGGCCTGTGGAATGTTGGTCCACTCCTCTTCAATGGGAAATGAACATTCAATTCACGGGCAACAGCTCTGGTGGACATTCCTGCAGTCAGCATGCCAATCGCATGCTCCCTCAAAATTTGCGACATCTGTGGCATTGTGCTGTGTGATAAAACTGCACATTTTAGAGTGGCCTTTTATTGTGGCCAGCCTAAGGCACACCTGTGCAATAATCATGCTGTTTAATCAGCATCTTGATATGCCACACCTGTGAGGTGGATGGATTATCTCGGCAAAGGAGAAGTGCTCACTAACACAGATTTAGACAGATTTGTGAACAATATTTGAGAGAAATAGGCCTTTTGTGTACATAGAAAAAGTCTTAGATCTTTGAGTTCAGCTCATGAAAAATGGGGGCAAAAACAAAAGTGTTGCGTTTATAATTTTGTTCAGTATAATTGCTATTATTATTATTAAGTTCTCAGATTTTAGTTATTAGAAATTGATTAACAAACATTTTCCTGCCTATATCAGATACACATTGAAAATGAACAAATCTGTCCTTAATAAGGATTGGATAGAAAGTCTTTGATCTTATTGATTTCAGTGATAATGTTCTTTAATATGAGCAATTTTGTTTAAAATACAGTTTTCGGAGCATAAAGGAATATGGTTCATTGATTAAAGCCTTGCCTTTTTGGTTTCTTTAATTGGCAAAAAATATGACAAGAACTCTTTGGGATGGCACAATCAAGCGATAATTCGTAATGAATTTACAGAACGCAAGCTTCTAGAGGTCACACAAGTCTGAAGTAATGAATTTAGGTAAAGGGGTGCAGAGCCAGTGGTGGTTTTGTAGGCAAACATTAATGCCTTGAATTTTATGCGAGCAGCTATTGATAGCCAGTGCAAATTGATAAAAAGAGGTGTGACGTGCATTCTTTTTGGCTCATTAAAAATTAATATTGCTGCTGCATTCTGGATTAATTGTAAAGGTTTGATAGAAGTGGCTGGAAGACCTGCCAAGAGAGCATTGCAATAGTCCAGCCTGGACAGAACAAGAGTTTGAACAAGGAGTTGTGTTGCATGTTCTGAAAGAAAGGGCCGGATCTTCCTAATGTTGAATAAAGCAAATCTGCAGGACCGGGGCATTTTAGCAATGTGGTCTGAGAAATTCAGCTTATCATCAATCACAACTCCAAGGTTTCTGGCTGTACACACACACACACACACACAGGTTACAGCAGTCCAAATTACGGTCACTCTTCTAATATAACACACAGCATAAATATCTTAATACAAACACAAACATCTTAAATTCTCTTTAAAAATTATATTAACAATATATTATTATACTATTATCATACTTTAAAAAATTTAAACAATTCTTATACAATTCCTTATAACTATCACAAACACAAATATCTTGATACAAATATCTAAAATGATAAATAATGGCACTTCAAGGTACCATGTGCTGCCAGGAAACAAGAGGCCAAGGCCAAAGCGGAGAGATGGAAAGGCCGCTCACGTCAGCCTGCAAGACACAAAGCTGACCGAAGACAAAATATATACAAAAGAAAACAGTGGCTATGACAGGGAGTTTTTTTTTCTTGCTCTCCATGTCTTACTCCACGACCTGGAACAAAAACATAAATCACTGTTATTTATCTAAATACACTACATTTAGAGCAAATTTGACATTATATAAACCAGCATTTAGCAAACCTTGGGCTCTTAATTTTAGTACCATAAACCAGTCATGGAGCTGCATCTCCTCCAGGACAAGCCTCCGCTGCGGATCAGGCTGCAGACAATCACAGATCATCTGGCTGCATTCTGTTCAAAAAGATGAGAGATATATATAATTATTAACTTATTTGTTACATATTTACATTTAGATTTCAATTGTAAACTTTCATATTTAGAGTTCAAACTGTCCATCTTTGTTCTTTGATGGAGATCTCACCTTGTGGCAGGTCAGGTTCGGACCAGTCCTTCTTACTGATCCTGTGCAGGTCTTTGTCGTCTGGATAATACCATCATGAACAGAAGGATCTCTAATGAACAAACTGTCGCCGGCTTCGCATGGTCCCTGCCAGTGACATCGAGCTCCAGTGGGCAGAACATTTCTGTGCCTAAAGAGAAGAGATTTTGATATTTAATGCCTTTCTACAGCAGATGTGTGAGTCCTTCATGAGCAAGCCGCATCCGAAGTCGATCAACTTGACCTCCAATGGGTCCGTGTTCACCAGGAGGTTCTCCAGTTTTATATCATGATGGAAGACTCCACGCTCACAGCAAATGTTAGTGGCATGAATGACCTGCCACATAACATGTCATGCCATCTTCTCATCGAGCCTTTATCGGAGCATGGGCTGCCCCGAGACCATGATGTAGTAGTCCGGGTTGTCCTAACAGTCCAGGAGTTTAATTATCTGCAGAAGGCTGGGGCCCTTATTGCCCATTTCTGTGGGGAGGTGTTTGGGATGACCAGGCTAAAAGAAAGAACATATGATGCTTAGATAGAGGTGATTTCTCAGATTAACATGAATATAAGATAAGAAGAAACTGAAAACAGTGAATGAGATGCAATTATATAGAAAGCGCGGGCTACTTACAACCTACAATATATGGCATATCTGGTGTCTTGTCAGCAATTTTCACAGCCACCTATCAACAAAACAAAGAATTAACAATTAGCATGTGCACAGAGATAATTCCAGTCATGAATACTGAACAGGTATGGAAAGTTTTGTAAGTGAAAAAGTAGTAAACAAATGAAACCTTGAGGCCTTCCTGCATGCACATAACCATAGCCTCCTTCACCCTGCAGCTTGGGGCCGAATTCATATCGCCAGAAAATGTGGCCTATTAAAACATAAACAAATGTTTAGCATGATTTTTTTATGCATTTTATAATTTAAAATTACATTTTACTTATTCTCATATATGTATTACTGTTACTGTTGTCTGGCTCCTCCGCTTCATCATCTCCAGTGGAGTTAACTTCAGCTGTCCCTCTACAGCAGGGAGGACTTCAGAAGCTGGAGCTTCTCCAAGATCTTGAATCTCTACAATTTGCTGTAGAGAAGTTTTATCTAAAGAGGAGAATACCAATCATATGAATCAAATCGCATAAATAATATGTGACCCTGGACCACAAAACCAGTCATAAGGGTCCATTTTTTTAAATTGAGATTGTATGCATCATCTGAAAGCTGAATGAATAAGCTTTCCATTGATGTATGGTTTGTTAGGATAATATAAGGACAATATTTGAAAATCTGGAATCTGAGGGTGCAAAGAAATCAAAATACTGAGAAAATCGCCTTTAAAGTTGTCCAAATGAAGTTCTTAGCAATGCATATTACTAATCAAAAATTAAGTTTTAATATATTTACAGTAGGAAATTTACAAAATATCTTCATGGAACATGAGCTTTACTTAATATCTTAATGATTTTTGGCATAAAAGAAAAATCTATAATTTTGACCCATACAATGTATTTTTGGTTATTGCTACAAATTTTTTTTCAGCGACTTAAGACTGCTTTTGTGCTCCAGGGTCACATATGAGTTAAGTAATGCATACTCAAATTAGAGTGGTTCTTCATTTAGGGGAACCTTTGAAAAACTGGGAATGAGAGAATGTGTTTATTGTTTTAGATGATGGCATTAATCTTACCCTTGTCCAGCTCTTCCACTTTGTCATCTTTAGAGGAACCAATTGAAGCGTGAACATCCTGAGGTTGAAGGACGTGCTGCTCCTGCTGTTCCTCTACAACAGGGAGGACTTCAGAGGCTGGAGCTTCATGAAGATCATGGATCTCTACAATAGGGATGTGTTATAGAGAAGTTTGAATACAAATAATATAAATAAAATATTGCAATCGCATCACAGTATTTTTTCAATTAGGTTAGTATCTGAAAAAAATAAAAATAAACATGTCCAAACAATGTAAATCGCTTTGTTTCTGAATTGAAATTTGTACTTAGTTGGTAATGACACCTAATAAATCTTTCCACTGGGAACGTGAGAATTGAATTATGGCAGTAAATTTACCCTGATGTTGGAGGATTATGGAAGCAGATTAGTCTCAATAATAATTCATGCAAAAGACACAATGCACACATGCGTATCCCAATTCACATGCATGAAACCCAAGATTTGTGTATGTATTTTTGAGACTTTCCTGGTAGCGAACTCCTCCCACGCGGGTCACTTGTACTCTTTAGCCAATCAGATTTGAGACTGTCGATTGACCAATCATAACCTGCTGTGGGCGTATGAAGCGTGTGCCCTGGGCATGCCTACCTGGATGTGATGTCATCAGCGCGAGACCACTAGTGAAGGGAAGTCCGGTTCTTTTCCGCGAAAAACAGTCTATCGTCCCGGAATGGGGTGAAAATACACTCAACACATTCAGATATATAAAGTCAGTAATCATAACTTCAGTCAGTTAACCTGTTAACCCGCACCGGCCCGAAGGGCGTGTTTAGGCATGTCTGTGCTTTTAATTACCTTTGTTTTAAAACAATATTCAATCAACTATCATAAACTATATGTCATTTGACAGCTAAAACACTCAAGATCCATGTTCTGAGCTTGCTTTTAAATCAATACACCAGAGAGGAAAGGGTTAACATAAATGCTGAAGGACCACCATTTAAACATGTACAAAGTGAACGGCAGTACTTACGTTTCATCGCCTATAGTTCTGGTCAGCTCGGACTATTCCAAGAAACACCAGCACACATTTCAATGTAAGGGTCCACTCTTCAAAATGCATCCCACTTTTTAATCCAAAACAACGAAAAAAATAGGAGTTTATTTTCCGTTAAAACTAATAAAGAGGAAGAGATGATCACGCTGCCATTTGAACGGAAGCGTTTATACAGCGATCTGTCGCCACATCGAAGAGCGCAAAAACTGCATGTATTGTTTGAATTTCCTGAAAAAAGGACATAATTTGAAAGATGAGACTTTGTTTCTTATCAAAACTAACAATATATAAATCTGGAAGTTTCCAATTAAGTTTCGCTAATATAGACAATATTTGTTCGGTACACATGCGTACCGAACTGAAAGAACCGTACCGAAAATTTTCGTGAACTGTTACACCCCTAACGGTATTATATATTTAGCATATTTTACTTAATCTGTTTTGTATCTTTAATACACAAGCGAATCATTAAAACAAGTTTTTTTCAGATTACTAAAATCTCAGCAAAAAAAATATGATTTGAAATATGTTCATTTAGATTTATTCGTATAAATAATACAAATACATAATAATTATATTTAAAGGTCCCGTATTGTCAAAACTGAAATTTCCTGGCTTTTTTCATAACTGAGGTCTAGATGCTATGTAACTACCATATAAGTCTCAAAACAGTCAAATGCACATAGCCTGCATAAAGTAGCTGTGATTTTTCACGAACCGTTGTGACTTCCGTAAAAAGTTGACGTCAGAACTACACAGTCACCGCCTTCAGTCACCACCCCGAGCACCGCCCACCGTCCCACTCTCCTTTCGCCAAACCCCCAGACAACATCGCGTCCATGCCATTGCTGAGCAACAACAACACGGAAACATGTTGAGAAAACGCTGTTCAGTCTGGATGTCAGGAAACTACATCATTGCACAGTAGGGCTGTGACGGTCGCCGTGACAACCGTTGTCTATTGCCACCGGCGGTAGTGCATGTGACGTCACACACTCTATAACCAGCATAATACAAAGTTTTGTATAAAGTATAATAATAGTAACCGTTGCAAGTTGTTTTATATAGACTATAAGTCTATGCTAATTCACAAATTACCTCAAATGCCATACACAGCGTTTGATCCTTTAGATTGACAGGTTTGAGTGCATGGAAATACAGTTCAGAGTACAGAAACCAAATACTACATCGCCAATCTGGAATCATTTCCATTCATGTCACCCATCTGCATTTGTACAAGTGTCTTCAAGTTCATGTGATCGAAAACGCTTGGCTGGTCAGGTTTGTATTTACTGCATTCAGTGTTTGATAAAAAAAAAAACATGAATTACCATTCTGAAACATCCTGTTGTAAGCGTGTTTGAGGAGGTGGTTGGTCGTCTCCTCTCGTCGCCGATTTGGAGTCTGAGTTTGGCTCAAACATGTAAGGCCGGACAACATTTCCCTCAGCAGTGACCATCATTACCGGTGTTTCTATTGACCTTACTTGTGAGTATCACCAATCTACAGCAGGCTACAGCATAAGTGACCCTAGTTACCTGTGGTTGGCCTGGCCGTGCATCACTCAGAAAACAACAGGCCAGTCAGAAGAGAGGCTCATGAATATTAAATAGACAGGCCAAAATCGACCTGTTCTTTGCAGACCAACTAAGAGAGGAGCTGTAAAAATATATTGAGATGTTTTTTGGTACTTATACCGCAAATATATATTCTTAAGGGCATCAAGACTTAAAATAAAACTCCAGAAAGGTGTAAAATATGTGACTTTTAAATACAATATGTATAATATTTGTAAATGCAACATTGAATCATTAAACACATTTTTGAACAATTAAATTTTATGTATTTTCTTAGTAAACTAGTAAAACTACACATTCTTAACAATTACAGTTTTAAGCAGTGTAGCCTATTATTAGTAGTTAGTGTGCAACACTCTAAGAAAGGTCTGTAAAAATAGGGTACAATATACTGTAACATGAAGAAATTTTCCATATTGATTTTTTTTACAGGTTTAACCTGCATTTTAAATTACGCATTGTATTTTGTGTTTTCAGATTATAGGGTTACAATTTAACAGATAATAACCTGGCAGAAAATTACCAGTACCTTTTCCATTTTTGTACATATTTTTTCTTACAGTGTACTTAACTGATCAACAATTGCATGTACAAGCTACTAAAAAGGTGTATCATAAATGAACAATTATTATCAAAATAACTGCAATTAGCAACTGAATTCACATGATGTGTGTACTACTAGGTATCTTTGGTTTGCTCTTTTTGTGTAATTTAGATGGAAAATGCATGCCGTTTTATTGCTTGAGTCACTTGTCAAAATTTGCTAAAAGTTTCCAAATAAATTTTAAAAATAGCTAAATTTGTTGCTAGGTGCTTTTTGAAGAAAAAGTTGCTTGGGTAGCCTGAAAAGCTGCTAAATCTACAAGTTGGCAACACTTACAGGCCGTGAGTCAGAACAGCTGGCATTGTAGTCTACTCTACCAGGATCAGGAAACAGTCCTCCATAAAATGCGCTCCACAAATCTGAATATTTGGGTTGAAGTGTTCTGGAACAGTGTTGTAAATACAACTTAACCACTGATTTCTAGTCGTGTCCTCTTTTGAAAAGGCCAAACAAAGTAGTTTAGCTTTCACAAAGAAACACACAGCGCCTTCACGACATGGCGGCGGCGGCAATAACAATACTACAGCGAGAATAAAAGTTACGCCTTCTTTCTTTGCGTGCACATTTGGGTGGCATTATGCAAATCTTCCCACACAGTGACGTAGACATGTGGGGGCATGTTAGAACGAGCCGTTTTAGGAGGGCGTGAACAAGTCTTAATTTTTATAAAGAATATTTAGTCTTTGCAACTTTAAGGATCTTATATACAGTATGCACGAACAGCTTGTAACACTCCAAAGAGAAAGGAAAACTTGAAATCACATCACATATGACCCCTTCAATACCCAGCTTGAAGGTTCATTTTAACCTAGCAGTGTAGTAATTTTAAAGTTTGAAGATGAGAGTCCTTTTCTCCCACTGCAACTCCACCAGTCCTGAAAGGACCACTTAAAATAAACAGAAATCTTGGATGGAATCAAATGATCAAAGGTATGTATGATATTCAACTGGTGTTTTTTTTTATGTCTGATGAAAACATGCCATATCCACATCCAACAATTTTCTGCCTATTCTAGCATCTCTGAATCCTTCAATTTGAGACATCCTTTGACAGAGCTTTAGGTGTGGCAGCCTAGATATGCAATTGAAAGTAATATAAAAAATACAACTAATTTACTAATAACTATATAACTATAATACATTTTATAACCAAAAATCATAAAATATACTATTAAATATATTACTATTTAAACTAAACTATAACTACATTTTCAAAATGCCACACTGCATATTATATTGTATATAATATTGTAAACGCTTGTATGTCATCCACGCCAATTGTAAAAACCAACTGTAACAAATGATTTAGCTTTTGATTCCTAAAACAATTGAATGCCTTGCTGAGTTCACTTCACAAAAAAAAAAGAAAAATGGATAGTGAATAAAACACCTCTGCATCTGCTTTGTTTCTGTAGAGTTGGCAGAGACGCTTGTAGCGTCTCGACCAATCTGACACACTAATTTTTATTTGATTTAACAAATCAATTATTCATTAGATTAACAAATCGTCACAGTCCCCTCGCTCCATAAACTGGATGCCAGGATTTCTGCAGAACACCAGGCCCCCTTGGTCACCATGACAACTAATCATGATATCACTGGTTTTATGACCCCCCAGGAATGTGAGTAGAATAACCCACTCATTGTCCCCATAAGGAAAATCCACAAGGAATGGACTTTTCTTGAACACTTCCATCAATTAAACCCTTTCTTGTTAATGTTTTAAAGGGGTCATGTGATGCTGCTAAAAAGAACATTATTTTGTGTATTTGGTGTAATGAAATGTGTTTATGTGGTTTAAGGTTCAAAAAACACATAATTTTCTTCTCCTCTATGCCCCGCCTTTCTGAAACGCGTCGATTTTTACAAAGCTCATCGTTCTGAAAAGCGAGGTGTGCTGTGATTGGCCAGCTATCCAGTGCGTTAT